CACCCCGCTGGGTACCGTGGCCACGCTGCACCCACAATGTTGGGGATACCCCGGGCCCAGCCCCGCAGCGGTGATAACCGGGACAAAGTTCAGTGCCACACGGCCGCAGTTCACAGTCCAGCCGCCCTGGCATCCCACCGGCACCCTCCATCCCAGCACCCCACCGGCACTTGCCCTGCTCCCCCTGCCCCGGCACCCTGTTGGCAAAACCCTCCCCGCGGGGTGACACCGCACCGCCAGCTCTGCCGCCCCTGCCAAGCCCCCCGACGCGCCTGGCACGACGTGGTGGCGGCAGGCGGCGCCGACGCGCCTGGCACGACGTGGTGGCTCTGCCGCAGCCGGCACTAGGGGCTATGAGTCATTTTAAGGCCTAAAAAGTTGTTTTCTTCCTCTTTAATGTGCTTTGAAGCTGCTAAGACAAGAAATCCTGACGCTCCCCGGGCTCGGGGACACCGCGGGGATCCCCGGACCCTGCATGGGACAGGATGGGCTCAACACACGCTCCGTCCTCTGTGTGCCACCGTCCTCTCCCTCCCCGAACGAGTCCCTGGCTGCAGCATCAGGGGTCCCATGCCGGGTCACCGAGTCCATCGTCACCTCGTCCCCGGCGGCGATGGGGTTTGCTGCTGCAGGCGGGTGGCTGCTCCCCCAGTTTGGCGGTGCCGGGGCTCAGCGCTGGCTGCAGAGCTGCGGGGGAGCGGGTACACGGTGCGTCCCCCCCACGGTGATGCAACCCTCCCATTTGGCCATCTCCACGGGGACGTCCTCCGGATACTCCACCAGGGCGGGGGCGAAGGGTCCCACGAGCCAGGGCAGGGGCGCGTGCTGCCCCACGTACTCCAGCAGCTCGTCGATGCTCAACTGCGCCCACGTCACCGTCTCCCGGCTTTGCGCCAGCACCAAACCTGACAGGTCGTGGAAGGAGTGGGCGCGGGAGAGGGAAGCCTGCACGCCCTCCACGCCATGCTGGACATGTCCCACCGTCTCCTGCACGCTGCTAGGTAAACTCCGGGCGCCGGCGGCCAGGCGGGTGCAGGCGGCGTGGAGCTGGCGCAGGAGCCCGCGCAGCATGGCCAGCGTCCGCACCTCCACCTGCAAGGCAGCCAGCGGGCAGTGGCGGCCCTGGGGTGCGCTGCTCCCCCTGCCCGGCCCGGCTCAGAGCCCCGTACCTCGGTGTCCTCCAGGAGCATGGTCCCCCAACCCGTACCTCGGTGTCCTCCAGGAGCATGGTCCCCTCCAACCCGTACCTTGGTGTCCTCCAGGAGCATGGTCCCCCAACCCGTACCTCGGTGTCCTCCAGGAGCATGGTCCCCTCCAACCCGTACCTTGGTGTCCTCCAGGAGCATGGTCCCCCAACCCGTACCTCGGTGTCCTCCAGGAGCATGGTCCCCTCCAACCCGTACCTTGGTGTCCTCCAGGAGCATGGTCCCCCAACCCGTACCTCGGTGTCCTCCAGGAGCATGGTCCCCCAACCCGTACCTCGGTGTCCTCCAGGAGCATGGTCCCCCAACCCGTACCTCGGTGTCCTCCAGGAGCATGGTCCCCCAACCCGTACCTCGGTGTCCTCCAGGAGCATGGTCCCCTCCAACCCGTACCTTGGTGTCCTCCAGGAGCATGGTCCCCCAACCCGTACCTCGGTGTCCTCCAGGAGCATGGTCCCCTCCAACCCGTACCTTGGTGTCCTTCATGGGCACAGGCCCCTACCCCATACCTCGGCATCCTCCACAGGCATGGCCCCCCCACCCCACACCTCAGTGTCTTCCATGGGAACGGCCCCCCACCCCACCCCATACCTCGGTGTCCTCCATGGGTACCCCTGCCCCGTACCACAGTCTCCCCCC